ACTTCTCTGCAAGGTCCTTCGTCTTTTACCCTCAGTATCCAGCCACATTAAAACAAATCTTTAGCCTGTGTGACTGCGGGTGCTTTTGCACAAGCCAAATAATGCTGCTTCAATCCACTTCAGCGACTGTTTGCAAGTAGATTTTGTCATTCCACACAGTAAAATCCAGTTGCAAAGTGGTTTGAAAGTGGATTGGAAGTGTGTTATTTTGTGTGTGGCCCATTACATATGGACATCTTACTGGAGTTTTTCAGAGCAGTCAGCCTCTAATCTTGACTTTGGATTCTGTGCCTACCTTAGGCACCATTTTTTTTTTTTCCCTCCCTCCGGTGTATTTATTCTGCAGCTACAATTTTAAAAATGCACTTTTCTCCATTAGGGTGGAATGTCACCTGTGACTTATGGGGGGTGTCTAAAGTTTTTTTTTTTTAAATTACGCCATTGCCCTATCGCGGCTGTGCTGTAGCGTACAGCAAGCATCTTCCATTTAAATTCTTGCGGTTCAGGTTTTGAGTGTACAGAATGCATGATAGAACCCACTGGCATTGCATGCTGTGATCGTTGGCAGTGTGCGTGTGTGCACCCACGCCTGTGCAAAGTCGGCTGCAGCTCCACCACACTTTGCACAGGTTTGCAATTTGTACGGAGGAGGAGTCCTCTGGCAGAAGCTCTGGAGAGCTTTTTTAGTCTTGTGCCACTACATTGAAAGGGGTGTGTGTATTTTTGGCAATGCCCTAGCGCCAGCTACATACCATGTTTCCTTGAAAATAAGACACTGTCTTATATTTATTTTTTTCTCAAGAAGACACACTAGGGCTTATACCACAAATGCATAGAAATCCTGCTAGGGCTTATTTTGGGGGTAGGTCTTATTTTCGGGGAAACAGGGAAGTAATGCTAATTTCCTGCCCTTCCTTACAAATCTGCATGGTTTTCTCTTTGTGATTCTCTAATGTGATCCTGCAGTTTTTTAGGGCCTGTCCTGTGCGGATGGCACTCTGTCCTCCAAATGGATCGGTCCCAAACAATTCTTGTCAGTTTGCAGGTCCGTGTGGCTCAGCCGCCATTTTAATGTTAGGCTTCCAGAGACTGCCAAAAATGGTGTCCCCCCCCCCCCACTTTGTGCACTAAAGCATTATTTTATTTTTGCATTTGTGTGTGTGTGTGTGTGTGCCCGTGCTTGGAAGTCATGGCGACCTCTGGAGACTCCTACTGGGGCATGGAGGGTGTTCAGAGAAGTGGCTTGATAGACTGCCTCTGCCTCCCGACCCTGGTATTCTCTGGAGGTCTCCCATCCAAATACTTGCCAGGGTCAGCCCTGCTTAGCTTTCAAGATCTGACTATCCAGGTCAGGATGTTCACTAAAGCATTAAAGGGAAAAATGTTTTCAAAGCTTTAGGCTTCCCACCCCAGTCTCTCTCCCTCTTTACATCTCACATCAATTTCATTCTGCGCTGACAATCCCCCTCTTTATTTTGTTTGCATGCAGCTGTCGGCTATGCTGCCATGGGGGTGGGGAGGTTAGTTGTGTTCTAATTGCCAGTGCATTCCTTCTGTGCTTCTTTGCTGCTGTAACGCTTATCTACAAGTTCTGCAGGTGGTGATGTTGATGTCTGGGTTTCTCGGGAACCGTGGGGGAGAGTTTGGTTCCCAGCTTCAGCGCAAAACGGCTGGAGCCCTTTCTCCCATGTGCGGGAGTGTGGCTAATTGGCCAGGGCAGTGGGGTGTGTGTGCATACAAATACCCTATAGCGTATTATGCCCCTGGACAGCCGTCATTCTTAACAGTGCCTATGTTAATGCATCTATAGCTCTTCAATAAAGTATTGCCTTTCCTGATAAGCATGTTGGCTGTGGGTTCTTGACAGCAGCACTGAAATGCTTTTCTTTTTCTTTTTGCACTGGGGACACTGCCATTTCACTCTTCTCCGATCCCCCTTTCATGTCAATACCAGCAGGGAACTAAACCTCACGCAGCTCCTTTTAAATTTCCCCCCGTCGTTTTAATTTTTTTTTAGTTTACTGATCCAAGACTAGCGATAGTCTCAAATCGTTAGACTCATGGCACTTGTTAAAAAAAATTAAAAAATTAAAAACGAGGGGGAAATGGAGCTTGTACACCGATGAAGGGGGGAGGGTGGCGGAAGGTGCAGAGTGGGTGGAACAACCTTGATGTGGGCGGGGCAGTGACCTTTGAGGGGCTGCAAAAGGGAGACGGAAAACCTGAGCGAATCTGCACGCTTCTGAATTACCTTCAGCTTGAAAGCAAAACAAAGGGGAAAACCAGCACAAAAGCATTCTCAGAAAACCCAGGGAAACAGTGACCAGAAAGCGAACAGCACTGAAAGGAGGGAAATCAATGCAGAATGACAAAGAAAACCCAACAGGCCTATGTGAAAGCACTCTACATTTGCTTTCATTAAATCTCTATTACCTTTGCCTCTCTCTTGCCTTCTCTCTCCCTCTGTTGTCTCTCACCTCCAGTCTCAAAAATTAGTAGTAAGTCAATAGTAAATGTTTATTGCATGTGGCCAAAGGCCACAACAAAGTTGTCTAGATAAATTTTAGATAAAACATGGGAAGAATGGAAACAACCATCAAGATAAGATGCCACACAATTAAAGTAGATTACAAAACTAAAAATTTTAAGTTTTGGACACCACTTTTTCACAGATGTTCTTGGCATCCCGGGAATATAGTGCTACCATGTTGGTAACGTATGGGTCTACATCTGCAAGAAGGAATATTATTGTCTCTTCAGCTATGCATGCAGTCAGATTGGCTAAGATGGCCACCAGAAATGTATATCTGGGTTCCCAATATAGAGGACAACGCAACAGCAGGGCCTCAACCATACCGCAAACACTGATACACTGAGCAACCTGTCTGCATGAGTGGTGCTCTGTTAACATGGCAGATGGCGTGTTTTGAAAGTGAATGGCTGTAAAGGCTGATCTCAGGTTGTGAAACGTGAGGTTGGATCTTTTCAATGGGATCCAACCCTCTCTGAAGAACTGTCTCCTCCAATACTATCCAGCTCATAAGTTAAGACCCACCTCTCAAGCCTGGATCTCTGTCCTTGCTTTCAGAGGTGAGGTGGATGGTATGTCCTGTGGTGGAGCCTTGCCTGTAGAACATCTTCCATCTTGAGGCTTGCCGGGTGCCTACCTTCACTTTCTGCCAGATGCCGAGCTAAAACATACCTTCTTACAAGACTTTAATTTGGGGTTTTATCTTATTAGCTTTTTAATTGTCTGCTTTTGTTTTATGGATAGTTTTTATGCGACTTGTGTCTAATGGCTGGGTTTTTTTAAATGGCTTTTAAAAATACTGTGGTTTTTAAATCATTAGCCACAATGAGAAAGACTCTGAAGAAGTAGCACAAAAATGTTTTAGATAAATAAATATGTTTCCTGCACTCCACACTGCACCTGCAGCTAAGAGGACGGAGGGAGAGGCTGACACTTGATTTCTAAGTCCAGCAAGTAGCTTTTGCTGTGGATCATCTGCAGAAAATGGAGTAGCTACGGCAAACAGGAGGATCTAGAGCCATCTGACTGCACTTCTGTTCTTTGTGTGATAATGAACCTAACTCGTTAGAGTAAACCTTGTGTTCCAGTTCAAGGGGATTCTAACTATCTCGCCCTTCCCTAATGCCTCAGTCTTCTCAGACCAGTTACTTAGAAAGTATCCAGACATGTTAGCCGAGTGAGGAGACAGAGACTGAAAGATGGCAGGTTGCTTATGCAGGACCCCAGTTGAATCCCCCCCCCCCCCGAGACATCCTACTGCTTTAACCCAGGTGGTGGGTTTAGCTCTGGCAGCAAAGCTAAAATTCCTAGATGTCTAATCCCCGTTTATTAGAGTAGTGTGTTAAGGAAAGGAGTAAGGACTCTCAGAAGGACCCCAGGGACACCAGAAGAAGTAATAATACTTCCCCTCTGCTCACCGAATAGCATCATCTTGGAAACTAAGCACAGAACCGTAGGACTCTATTACATATATGAAGCTTTGTGTCTACAGGAAGGGTCCCAGCCTCTTTCCTGTTGAAGAGCACAGTGACTGCACAGTGGGAAATCCCTACTATGCGTGTAGGCATTATCCAGCGTACATTAACAACTCTGAAGTCTCTAGCTTCTTACAGTGATTCCCAGACTCCCGTCTCAAACCAGAGTACACAAAGGTTTGCCTCTAATATAAAGCAGGCCTGACCTACTGAGACCAAACTGCACACCCCCTTTCTCTCTTACATGCCCTGCCCCAGCCCACAGCGGGAAACATGGCACTCAGCATCAGGCTGAAGGTGGCCATAAACTTGTCCCACTACTTACTTACAGCGCAGTTGTGAATTTCACCAGAACTGCTGGTAGAAAGTTGTCTATGGCAAAATTTTAAGGACTTCCAGGCATAACTGCATAATTTCTCACTGGGTAATGATTGACCACGGTGGCTCAGAGGTTAAGATGCTGAGCTGCAGACCGGAAGGTCTGTAGTTCGGCAGTTCGAGACCCGAGTGCCGCGTGCCGGAGTGAGCTCCCGTCTCTGGCCACAGCTCCTGCCAGCCTAGCAGTTTGAAAGCAAGACATTGCAAGTAGATAACTAGGTACCACTTCGGTGGGAAGGTAACAGCGTTCTGTGCGCCTCGGCGTTTAGTCATGCTGGCCACATGATCACGGAGAAGTCTTCGGACAGTGCTGGCTCTTCGGCTTGGAAACGGAGATGAGCACCGCTCCTAGATCCGGATTCGACTGGCTTTCGAGCAAGGGAAACCTAACGACTGACAGACCCACTCAACTGTAGCAGTTGAGCAATTCAGACCCATTCAATCGTAGCAGTTGAGCAGATGATTTCCAGCGACTGCAGTGCATGGCTCATTGCATTGAGATTTACTAGGGTCAGGGTTGGGTCTACTTGACTTAAAATGAATGCAGAGAGACCCAAAAGCTAGTTTTGGTGTTACCTTCCCCCCACGAAATGCCATGACAGCTATAAGTTACTTACCTGATATAAATAATCTTCAAATACAAAATAATAGTCGTCATTGCTGGCCGTCAGCTTCACATCCTGCAATTAAAAAACAGAACACTTTGAAAGCGAGAGACCACTTTTCCACCTAGAAAGCTCCTGTGGGGCATAAATATAAGGGGGACCCACAGAGTTAATGAGCTTAAGACCCAAACTGGTCACCCCAGCCTAAATTTCCAACATGCAGGAAAATCTGGTTCGTGTCATCCTGAAAAGGAGGAGCCCTCAGCACAAAAATCTTCCGTGTGTGATTTGATGGCGACCCTTCTGCTCCGTTATCATCCATGACAGTTTCCCATGGTTCCAGTGATGGGGGGAATGCACGCTTCACTTGGCAATCCATACTTTCTATGTGTTCCACAGACATCACTCAGATGGAAAACAACTTAAAATGGCACGTATCCTATTGGTCTAGTTCTGCTACTAAAGTCATCACATTAGCAGAATTGTGGGTTTTTTAAGTTGCAGAAAACTGTCGTGCAAAGGAAAACCTCCTGTGTGCCATTTCCATTTCTACATCCGAATGTATGTTTGCGCACCAGGAGAACATTAGTGCTTTAACAACAAATAAGCAGGAAATGCTCGGCACTCACAATCGTGCGAGAATCACGGCACGTGCCAGCGCTACGGTTTGTGCCGCAATTCACGTGTTCGCAGATCAGCACTTGACTGAAGACAAGCCCCAATGATGTTTTATGGGACACACACCAACATTTTAGAAAACAGCTCTCCTACCAAGTCCCCCGCCCCCGATTCAACAGCTTTCCCTAAAACTGAAGCAAGTTTGATAAGCAATTTTGCGATATAGGGCCAGGTGTGCCATTTAAAAGGGGGGAAAGCAAGGTCTCACTGGGCAGGCCCTGGACTCTCTGTGTATAAGTGAGGGAATGAAACATTTTATGTTTTATTTATTATATACTGTATTGTATTTTGCACTCGGCTTTGCCACATGTGAGCCACCCTGAGCCTTTCGGAGGGCGGGATATAAATCAAACTAATAAATAAATAAATAAATAAATAAAATTTCCAAAACAGCTTTTTGCTTGACTCGGGCCCCAGAAACCTGCCTGGATTTACAAACATTTCTTGGGTGGAAGAAGAAGAAGAAGAAGAAGAAGAAGAAGAAGAAGAAGAAGAAGAAGAAGAAGAAGAAGAAGAAGAAGAAGAAGAAGAAGAAGAAGAAGAAGAAGAAGAAGAACCAAAGGAATCTCAGAGTGGCTTACAAACTCCTTTCCCTTCCCCTCCCCACCCTGTGAGAGAGGCGGGGCTGAGAGAGCTCTTGACAGAAACTGCTCTTTTTTTCAAGAACACCTCTGACAGAACTATGGCTTGCCCAAGGCCATCCAGCAGCTGCAAGTGGAGGAGTGGGGAATCAAACCCAGTTCTCCCAGATTAGAGTCCGGACACTTAACCACGACGCCAAACTAAAAAAAAGTTCAATGCCCAGCAGATCCCAAGTCGCCACAGGGCACGGAGTTCCAGAGAAGAGAGCTGAAGACACAGCAGAGGAAGTCAAGGAAGCTATTTTTTGTGTGATAGAAACTCTGAGGAGGAGGCTCAACCCCTTTGTCCCTTCCCATCAGGCCAGCCCACTCTATTAACAAAATCTCATTCCCCAGTTCGATCTAATGCAAACGGCAGCAGAAACACTAAATATGAGACTGTGCCCTTGTGGATATAATTTAGACCAGGGGCCCCCCTACCTTGTGCCTGAGGGCCCCTTTGCGATTCTGACCCGAAATGTCAGTTAGTGAGCTTTTATTTTTTTAAACCCCCGGGGTATTTTTATTTTTTCAATATGACTACAAACTACAAAGAAAAATATAGGAAGGGGAACTACAACTATGGATAAAGGAAAGATACCCACACTAACTAAAAACCCAAGAGTGGGAGACCCCCTTTATGTTAAACTTAATATTAGTATTAAAAGAGTTAGTAAAACAATATACTTGTAGAGTTCTTGTTTTCCACATTGTTCTGTATTAGTAAATTAGTTATTATGAGAGAACTTTCTGAGCATCTTCTTTGTTTCAAAGGGCCATTTATCAGAGTCCTTCCGCCCTTACTTCGGCTTTCTGTCTCTAAAATCATATACAGTTTTCATTGCTCCCGCACCCGCTTCTGCAGCGGAGTCACTTGACTTAGTTTCTTCCTCTTTAGAGTCTTCCCCCGATCCCAGCTGACCTCAGGTAGTGAGCTGATGCATGACTTTGATAGTAGGTCTTCAACTTTTCAGGAGGAAGTTCTGGTTAATGCGGTGGCTCAAAGGTTAAGATGCTGAGTTGCAGACCGGAAGGTCAGTAGCTTGGCAGTTTAAGACCCGAGTGCTGCGTGACGGGGTGAGCTCCCGTCTCTGGCCCCAGCTCCTGCCAACCTAGCAGTTCGAAAGCAAGAAACTGCAAGTAGATAAACAGGTACCGCTTCGGTGGGAAGGTAACAGAGTTCCGTGAGCCTCGGCATTTAGTCATGTCGGCCACATGACCACGGAAACGTCTTTGGACAGCGCTGGCTCTTTGGCTTGGAAACAGAGATGAGCACCGCCCCCTAGAGTTGGATTCAACTGGCTTTCGAGCAAGGGAAACCTTTTAAAATTTACATACTGTTTTACAATATTTTCTTGCGCACACATATATTGAGCTCATTCATCTGACAGTATCTGTCTTCATTTCTCAGGGAGCTAACGCATTTATGCAGAAGGAAAAGGGGGGGGGGAATGGTTCTTCCCTTGACTGCCTCTTTACATGACCCCTTCTCTCGTGTGCCCAGCCATTTTCAAACTGTCCTGTTTCTTGTCACGACAACAGTTGGTGCTGAAGGGCTGGTGACAGCGCCTTGTGCATGTGTACAGTAAAGAGAACTATTCTGGCCATATTTTCACAGGAATGCACATAGTTTTTGAAAAGTGAACATTTGATGTAGTGATGCTATTATCAATTTCTACCTGAATGATTTAAAAAAAATACATTAAAACCAGGAAGATTTGATGACTTCCATACAAATTTCCAGTGAAGTGAAAGTTCCATTTTAGCTGTGTAGCCTGATTGCGTTTAGTCAGAATCAAGTTTTATTGTGTTTTTTTAGAATATTGCTCCACCTTTTTAGAGTATCAATATGGCCTTTTTTCCCCATGCCCAGGATAATGCCGATCGCCACTTTGGAGTCAGGAAAGAATTTTCCTCCAGGCCAGACTGGCCTAGTGATCCCGGAGATTTTTTGCCTTCCCCTGGGCATGGAGCAGAGGTTACTGTGGGAGACAGAGGGAGGTAGTTGGAAATTTCCTGCACTGTGTAGGGGGTTGGACTAGATGACCCCTGAGATCCCTTCCAGCTCTATGTTTGTCTGTTGTGAGGAGGGGAAGGGATTGTAAGCCGCTCTGAGACTCCTTCAGGTAGTGACGCGTGGGTATAAATCCAATCTCTTCTTTTTCTTCTTCTGTTTGTACAAAGTACAGTCTTTTTGTTGTTCAGTCACACAGTCGAGTCTGACTCTTTGCGACACCATGGACCACATCACACCAGGCCCTCCTGTTTTCTGCTGTCCTCCGGAGTTTGCTGAATGTTCGTTGCATCAATAACACTGTCTAACCATCTCGTCCTTTGCCGTCCCCTTCTTCTTTGACCTTCAGTCTTTCCCAGCATCAGCGTCTTCTCCAGTGGGTGCTCCCTTCTCATTGGGTGGCCAAAGTATTTGAGCTTCACCTTCAGTACAGTCTATACCCCACAAACACTAAAGCTTAAACAACCCCATCTGGCCCCACCCCCTTTATGAATCACTTGGGGGAGGGCACTAGATTCAGATTTATTGTTACAGTCAACAACCAGCACACTCAGTCATTTTACATAAAAAAAACATTTGAATAAGAAATAGGGGATAAAACCAACAGTGGCGTTCTTAAATTAAAAATATGTGACTGTAACATAGAAATAAAATAAAACAGCCATAAAACTCATGTATAATTTAGATAAAAGATAAGAACTTAGTCTAATTACCATGCATTTTACATTCCTTGTAAAGGTGGGCACATAATCTAGCCGCCTGTCTTGTTGTTTGATGGTTCCTGCCAGACAGGAGGTAGCCGAGTTTAGTCTTATTTGATCTGCCAGGAAACCTTTCTAACAACAGACTAATAGTCTCCATGCAGATCACCCTATGGTATACGCAGGGCTATTTTGGGGCAGGAACGCACAGGAACGGAGTTCCGGCTGGCTTCAGAGCTGGCCACGCCCACTACAGCCAAAACCTCTGCATGTGTGGCTGCCTTCCCTTCCCTTCAAGGGGGGGGGCTTGCCCAGGTTCCCCGCAGCTGCGGGCGCCCGGGAAAGCCAAGGGAAGGAAAGGGTGTGTGGCCTAATATGCTAATGAGTTTCTGCTATTGGGTGTGGCCTATTATGCTAATGAGTTCCTGCTGGGCTTTTTCTACAAAAAGAGCCCTGGATACGTAGTTAAAGAATATATGTTCCAGAGAGCCTGTTTCGCAGAGGGGGCAAGAGCAGAACCTCAGTGAGTAAGGGGTCCCTTTAAACCCCCCTTCCAATACTGCAGACGGCAAGGACATACCTCTGGCTAAAGTGAGTGCCTTTCTAGAGTTACTGGATTTGAGGAAATGTAAATAGGCTGCAGGAGCAACTACATATCTGGAGAACTGAGAATATCCATTTGTCTTTTGGTGTCAGTCACTCTCTGCTTAATGAGGGATTTTGCCTGGCCTATACCGAGATCCAGAAGGGTTTGGGGAGGGAAGCCTAGTCTCTGGATGGAATTCAAGACCCCTCCATGCCAACTGGACTGGAACTGGTCCTGAAGGATTAAAGGGAATGGGGGAGGGCACCGGGAAAGATTCCTGCAAGGACCTTGTTGGAGACCCTGGATTTAGACACACCCATCATTACATGCCCTCTTCTGACAAACCTTAATTCCATCTGGAAGTAACTATCAATACAATCCTGCGAATGCTCTCCTGGGAGATCTCCACAGGATTCCAGGGTACACCTGCTTAGAATTGCCCTAAGTTAGGGCTGCCAAATGCAGCCGGGGGGCGGGGAATCCCCCGTTTCGGAGCCCCGATTCCGGCGTGCCGGAATCGGGGCCTGGGGAAAACCCCACCCCCGCGTGCGCGTCACCCGGAAGTGACGTCGCACGCTGGGGGCGGAGCCACGCCATTTGAGGGGAAAACTCTTTGTTTTCCCCTCAAACGGCGTGGCCCCGCCCAGCGTGTGACGTCACTTCCGGTGATGTCCTGGCGGCGCGCGCATCCCCCAGCAGCTCCCGGACCGGCCGGACGATCCCCCGCCGGTAAGAATGTCAGATTTGGCAACCCTACCCTAAGTTCCTGGTATCTCTCAGCCAGGAGTGTCGAACTCATTTGTTACGAGGGCCGGATCTGACATAAATGAGACCTTGTTGGGCCGGGCCATGTGGGTCATAAAATGTGATGCCAGGTAGCGGAGATATAAACTTTATAAAGAACACAAACACAAAGATTTTTTTTTTTAACTTAAAATAAAAACGTGCTTAAAACATTAGCTCTGTAAGCTGCAAACCTACTTTTGATTTGTTGACATTCACCACAGAAATCTCATGCTCAGAGTTCTGAGTCTAGGACCCAGGTTAAAACATGAAATGGCTGAGTGATTCAGAGAGTCTGGCAAAGCAAGCTATGATGCAGCAGCAGCAGCAGAACTGGAAGCAGGAGATGGCCACTTCCACTGTGGGCCTGATGGAAACCTTCCAGAGGCCTGATCCGGCCCCCGGGCTGCATGTTTGACACCCGAGCTCTAAGCATTGCAGAAATACTAAACTGTGGCTCAAAGAAAGAAGCAGGCAGAAATGTAACAATCAGGATTACTCACTTTATAAATCAGGCTGTCCACCAAAAGGTCATGGAGAATCACATTAGATTTTAGCTGTTCATAGTACAAAACATCCTAGAGGGAAACAGATAACACTACTGAATTTTCATGACGACACGGTTAAAAAAAATAACATTTGCAAACTTTGTAGTTCTGTTTCTCCCAAAATAAATAAGAAAATGGTTTTTAAACTAACTCTGGGTACAATAAAAATGCAATATTGAATCCATCTCACAAATGAAGTACATGGCAGGAATAAAGTCATTCCAGGACAAAAACCTCTGTTCACCATAGAAATGTTACGCCTTCCTCTCGCAAGCCTCACATCTGATTTTTAATCATATCCTTCCACCCACTCGTGCCCTCTGCATCACCTAGAAACCCAGACGTATAGCAAACAAACACATAATACACAACTCAAAGCCTTCACCCCCAAAGAGCTCACAAAACAAATATGAGATAAGACACTTCCCAGATGGACATAGACGCAACAAGGAGTACCACATTACTCTCCCACACCGCTGCTTATTTGGTCCGGACTAATGATACCCCTGGAACTGGGGATATGTAGCACAACATGCTACATTCTGGACCTGCTGGCCGGTTGGCAACGGGTCCAGCTATCACGCACAGCTTTCTGAAGGAGCCATGCGGGCTTTGTAGGCACTGCTAGCTAAACACTGTTCCAGGCTCACAGCCAGGATTTTTTAATTCGCGGGGCCTTTAAATAAGTCAGGGGGCACCCCCACACGCACCCCCCGTGCACCCCCCCAAGCCTGGGAATGCCCCACAGAAGCCCCCAGTCTCTCACGCAAGCCACCAAGCGAGTGGCATGGTGAAGGGTTGAGCCCCTCCCCGCAACATGGAGCTCCGAGGGGAGAGCGGGAGCGGCTGCAGGGGCGTCCCCTCCACCAGCACCCACTCGCCTTTTGGCTGGCGCTCCCACTGTTGATAGTGGGGAGGCTGTGAGCTCTGCCGACGGCGCTCTCCACCCAGCTTGGCGAAAAGTCGGGGGGGGGGGGCTGGCCCCAAGATGCCCTCCTGTAGCAGCCAGTTTCTCGTTGGGCACTGGGGGGGGAAGGCAGAAGTACATTGCTGGACCCACTGGGTGGCAGGTAGTCACTCCTTCCCACCTGCCAGACTTGGTAGGTGCAGGATAAGCTCCTCCGCCCCGAAAAACCCCAGATTTGGGAAAGAGATCATGACCAGCAGAAGGCCCCTTCCTCTGTCTTGTGAGGAATGATGGTTGGAAAGGGAGTTGAGGGTTATAGGTGAACACAACCTGACTGCTACTGTCATCTTCAGGGGCTCTTCTTTGGGTGCTCCTGCTTTCTGAAGCTAGATGGGTGGCAACCCAAGCAAAGGCCTTCTTGGTCATGACTCCAAATCCATGGAATTCCTTCCTTGGGGAAATCCATCTGTTTCCCCCGACCATTGTCTTCTGCCAGCAGGTGAAGACTTACATGCTTTATCAGTAGAAAAGAGGAAGAGTCCAGTAGCAATTTAAAGACTGAAGAAATTTGTGGCAGGGAATGAGATTTCGTGAGTCACTGCTCAGTTCTTCAGATACAGCTAGAACATGAGTCCATCTATCCTTATACTTTGGAGAGTGAAGTGATTTCAGATGTCAAATGACGTTAGCAGGCGAATGACAGTAGTGGGTGTGACTGAATTAGGTGTGATATGCAAAGGGGTAGTAGGCGAGCTACGGTGGCTCAAGTGGTTAAGATGCTGAACTGCAGGCTGTGGAAGGTTGGTAGTTCAGCAGTTCGAGACCCGGGTGCCGCATGACGGAGTGAGCTCCCATCTCTAGTTCCAGCTCCTGCCAACCTAGCAGTTTGAAAGCAAGAAATCGCAAGTAGATAAATAGGTACCACTTCGGTGGGAAGGTAACAGAGTTCCGTGTTTAGTCATGCCGGCCACATGACCACGGAGACGTCTTCGGACAGCGCTGGCTCTTCGGCTTGGGAACGGAGATGAGCACCGCAACCCTAGAGTCGGATTTGACTGGCTTTCGAGCAAGGGAGACCTTCACCTTTACTTTTAGTAGGCGTGGAGAAATCAGCATTGGTAATGTGACAAGAAACACAGTTCTCGATTCAGCCCAGTAGTCTACTGCTACAGACAGACTAACGTAGACATCCATCATGTTTTATCAGGTGCTCCCACAGTGACCCTCCTTTCCTATGTATTTCAAAGCTTCTTTTTATGTTTCCAATTGTTTGCTGCTTTGGGGACCCTAAGCTGCATGGAAAGGCAGCATAAAAATGTTTTAAATAAATAGATTTGATTGACTTACTGAAAAGTTCTACCTTTCAGGCCTCCAAGATGAGCTGAGAGGGAAGAAAGAGAGAGAAGAAAGGGGTCTATGTTTTGGGCTCCCTGACAGAAATCTCCCGTCTTGCTGCCCCTCGTATGAAAGGGCTGGAGTTGCCCGCCTGAAGAGGGCGGGGTTTGGGGAGGGGAGGGACTTTAGCAGGGTACCATGCCAGAGAGGCCACCTTCCAAAGTGGCCATTTTCCCCAGGTGAACTGATCTCTGCCTCCTGGAGATCAGCTGTAGCCCCAGGAGATCTCCAGCCACCACCTGGAAGCTGGCAACTCTCTAAGGATGCGTTCAGACGGGGCGTTTCTGCCGGCATAAACTGCACCGGTTGGAACCGGTACAGTTTATGCCGGCAGAAACGCGATCACACTTACCCTCCATTTTGCGGATCCCTCCGGTGGACGCCCGCTCACACGCTGCGGGCGTCGGCGTTTTTTGGGTTTTTTTAAGGACAGTTTGAGCATGCGCATAAGCAGCCAGAGAATGGCGATTTTTGCGCATGCTCAACCCTTCCCCATTACATTTAAACTTTAAAGGTAAGGACTTACCTTTAAAGTTTAAAGCCCAACCTGGCCTCCCTGTAGTCCCGGACTGCTCCGGGAAGTTAAAGTAAGGGCTTTTTTCCCCCTTAACAAACGCTCGGGGCGAAGCTTCGCCCGAGCGCATATCGCTTATTTTTTTTAAAAAAATGGCGGGGGAAAGCCGGAAGCCTCAGGCTTCCGACGGAAGTGGCTGTACAACGTTTGGAGAGCGATCAGACGCCGGGGTGCACCGTTTTCAACTGTTGCACTCAGTTTACCACCACTTGGGACCTAGTGGCAGAGTGCAACGGTTTAAAGGGATTTACAACGGTTAGGGACGGGAGGCAGATGTTCGCCGTGTGAACGCCCGTAAGTACACCGGTTGGAACCGGCACCCTAACCGTTGTAAATCCCCCGTCTGAACGCACCCTGAGAGTGCTAAGAGGTGACCCCATCAGATTGCAGAAAGCAAAAAGGCTATCTGATAGAATCTGAAAGATATGCTGTCTTAGATAGGTTACTCTGTTTGCCACAAGGGTTCTGATGGGACCCTAGACAACACTGCGGTCTTAAAAGTTTTGGTGCTCACAAAGAACAATTATAGCACCTTATGTCTTTTATATAAACATCACGGTCCTTGAAAAAGATTAATTCGAAATGGGTAGATTACTAGAGTCCCATGGGACTAGTAATAGTGTTACTGACAAGGGGCTGTCTGAATGTAAACCTACCCTGGATGTATTGTTGGGGTGAAATATATTTTTGATAACACGACAGGGCAGTGGGGATATGCACTGCTGTTGTTGTGTAGCTATACCATCAAGAACACCATCTTGGTTTTATGATTTGGAAGTGTTTATCTTGTATTTTTAGTATTTTATACTGTTTTATTGTTATAATCTGGCGTTATGCCTCTGTTAGCCACCCTGAGCCTTCGGGGAGGGCGGGATATAAATCCAAATAAATAAATAAATAAATAAAATAATATTTGATACCAATATTTAGACAACAGTATTGAAAAATATAAAAAGAAAAAGAATATAGCATAAAATTGTTTTACCATAAGCATACAATTATTGTACACAGTGATATATATTTTTGTATGACCACCTGGAGGCTGGCAACTCTTTGAGAGCGCTAAGAAGTGACACCATCAGATTGCAGAAAGCAAAAAGGAACTAGTCCAAAGGGTGCTGTGAAAATGGTTTTCATGGGATCTTCTACAAGTCATCCAGTAGGCTTCAAGCCTGTGTTGCTCTTTATCAGGGGATTTAGATACGGTTGTAGAAAAGGACCCGTTATCGTCTCTACATTAGATCTACTTAATAACGTTTTGTAGCACTTTGGAGAGACTGCCTCTTGTTTTCTGCATCAATAGTGTGAAAACAGTCTCCTCTTCATGGGTTGGCAGATGCAATGACTAAAATGTATGCAAGGGCTTTGACTCCTAAAATAGAAGTGTCCTGGGTGTGATCCTGTGGGTCCGCTCCGCTAACAGCAGGACATCCACCCAGAGCTGCCTACTAGCAGAAGGGCTTTTCGCATCAGCAGAAGTCCCCTTGTCCAGTGAGGAAATGCTGCTGTCGGCAGAACAGATCCACAAGATCCACCCTGTGTATATATCTAGTCGGGGTCATTTCCTGCAGGAGCGCACAGGAGCGGAGCTCCGGCAGTAAAGAGCCCAGGGGGCGGGCACATGCAACAAACCCCACCCCCTGCTCCCAGCCACCCTCAGTCAGAGCAAGAAGCAGCCAGGTAAGTTGCAGAGCCCAACCACCCCCCGGTGCAAAACAGTCCAGTGGCACCTTTAAAACCAAGTTTTATTCAGGTACAAGCTCTCCCTCCTCTGTGAGGACAGATCTGCACGCCCCCCCCCCCAAATAGCTAGGAATCCAAAACAGTCCAGTGGAGCCTGAGTGGTGGGTGTTGCCTTCCGACCCACTTCCAGTGATGTCAGGGGGTGTGGCATATGCTAATGAGTTATGCTAATGAGCTCCTGCACCGCTTTTTCTACGAAATGACCTCTGTATCTAGTTGTATAAATACTAACTTCAATATTAAAGAACACACAAACTATGCTCCAAAGTAGCGAAAAATTTCACTCTTGGGGTATTCTCCTCAAGCGCTTTTGGAAATGGGTGGTGACCGAGCTAAGTTAGAAATTAAGCAGAGGATCAAGGACACCGAACACCAACTAGATCTACAGGTGTCTCCAACTTTTATAGCACC